TGGCTTCTCGTGCATACCCTGAATCATGGCATTTGCCATTTAAATTGAAATACATATTTGCATGTCTCTCCTTTCACTAAATTGTGGGCTCCGTGGAGGTAAGAAATTTATTTATCTTTGTATCCTCAGCAACCGGGACTTCATCTACCTCAAAGTAAATACTCGTTTATTGAAGAGTAAATGATTGATTAAACAGAATACCTATAATTCCCCAGCACCGTAGCTGAACAATGCTTACAGGGCCTCCTTATTTTTATTTTCCCCCTCATAAAGGGAGGCAGACAGTTCCCAAGCTGGGCTATGTTGCCATGCAACCAGGCTCAGCCCCACCTCTAATAAGCTCTTAGGGAGGTAAATTTTCAAAGCAATCTTTGCAGCTAATCTTTCAAACAGCCAAGGAATGTGGTCTGTTGTGAAAGTGCTCTACTTCCCAGCCCAGGAAAATTCCCTTGTTCCCAGAGGCCTGAGTAATGTGCACTAAGTTTAAATCATGTTGTGGTGCTCCTAAATTAGAAGCCCTGAGTGATAAGCTAGTACTATCTGTAAGTAGTAGTGCTGTTCAGTTATTGGCCTAAAACTTTCTAAGCTGGTATTATTTACTGAATGTTTGGGTATGTGCCTGGAACACTATGCTATCTACTTTACATGTATTATCTCAGTTAATACTTGCATAGTTCTTATGAGACAGGTTTTATGATGATCTCCATTTTACAGATGAGGAAACTGAGATACAGAGGGCTCAGGTGATTTTCCCAGTCACACAAACACTTCAGAGGAGTATAAATGTAACCCCACTTTTACACTTAGATCAAGGATTTAAACTAGATTAAAATTAAATTCCTTAAACTAAGCAATCAAAGAATTTCTTTTCCTTTCCTCAGTGTCCTGAGATAGACTCAAGTGAGTTTCCTATTGAAGGCAAATTCTGGCGCACTAAGACCCCCACCCCTTAAGATCCAGTCACCAACCCTACTCCTTAAAAACGTGCCTCCTCACCCACAAGCTGCTGCTCCCTCTCTCTGGGGGCAGCCATTTTCTCTTTCAGATAATAAAATCTCTTGCGTGGGCCCGTGTCTCCTGAGTCGTTCTGGGGTAAGGAGGGCCGTGGTGAGATACCCTTTCACCTATAATCCTTTTTACTGCCTAAGCCAAGACCCCTTTTCCTCTTTCATTCTGGAGTCCATTATCAGTTAAACAGTATTGTCCAGGCCCTAGTTTATGTAACCTGGCAAGCCCATGCCAGTCACAGGTCATCATCACAGACCTTTTGGTCAACAATCCCTGACACAGCCAGGTATACACATCCCTTTGAAGAACTTGTGGGTCCCATGGCTCTGTCCTCAAACTTTCCACTCTGGCCAGTGCTTCTCAGTGAGTGTCAGACTATTGTCTGAGCTTATTTTAGAAAACACAGATGCCTATCTCCAGCCTAGACTTACTGATACACCATCTCCAGAGCTGGGGCCTGACCATCTGCATTTTAAGAAGAGAGCTGGGAACTGATGCGAGGGCTAGGAACCACCGCTCTCCACTCCCCCAGCTAACCTCTCCCACCCTATGGTTTCCAGCGCCTTCTGTCTCATGCCAGGCCTCTCCTGAATTCCAAGCCTCTCACTCCAACTGTCTCCCCTGGCCAGCTTAGTCTGCTGTTTTGTAGGCACCCCAGATGAATAACACTCTGGGGCTGTAAAGGGGTGTCCTTAAAAAGAAGCCCTCTTTTTTTTTTATGGTGATTTGAACCAACTGAAAAATTAGGTCAGAAAGCAGCAGTCTAAAATATTACATTATGGAAAAGCAGTAATTTGGAGACTAGAGATGAGTGGAATGGGCTTTGCAGTTTCCTGCCTCCAGGTCCAGGCTGCCAAGGGGAATTAGATATGCAGAGAAGACCCAGGCCACTGCCTCCCAGTAGTCAAGAATGAGGAGGGAGGAGAAAAAGGCTGGACCCCACATGCTACTTCACCCCAAGGGCTTCACCCTACAAAATAAGGACAAGTGCTGCTGCCCACTTACCAAGTAGCTTACTCCATCCCAGGACAGGAATAAGGGCCGGGCAAAAGGCCAGGAGCGTTTAGGAGAAGGTGCTTCTTCATAGAGGCGGAGGAGTGGGGAAGAGGTATCGCCCTCTGACAGTGCTCAAACCAGAGACCTTGGAGCCCGTTAGGGTCTCCCACTCCTACATCTAACAGGGAGCAAGTCCTGCCCTCTTTTCTGCAGCCACGCTTACTGTGTAATTGAGGCTTTTACCGTTTCTCACCTGGGTTACTACAAATTTCTAACTGTGCTCCCTCTCTAATCCCACCTGAACACTGCAATCAAGTGAACTTTATAAAATGAAAAACTGACCATATCACACACATGCGTAAAATTCTTTAATGGCTCTCTGTTCTCAATGGGTGTTTTAAAAATACTTTTAAAAATACTATCCCAAAGAATGAATTATGAATGGAAGGTTTTTTGATCGGCCAAATGTGGAGTCTAGCTTGTAGAGTAAGAGGTTGGGGAGGAAAATAAAGTAGGTCTTCTAAAACCAAAAGTCCTTGAAGTGAATCTCCTCCATGTGAGGGAAGCAAAGCCCAAGTATGCTGATGCTGGCGATATCTGGGCTCATTGACTGGAAAGGCACTGGACCAGCTGGGGTGATTCCTGCTTCATGCATGAACTATGGCATCCAAATGTCTCACATGGGATGATAGCACCCAAATACAGCGCTGCTGCTGTGTTGGCAGAAGCTGGGTCAGCACCACCGGCAGTGAGCGAGGGGGTCAGGTCTAGCTCCGTTGTGGGGTAAAAGTCAATTTCCTCACAGGGCACCTGAAGTTTAAGTGAATTGCCTTTGTCGACCTTACCAGTCTCACCTCTCCTGCCTCCCAACCACCTGCCCCTCTACATAGAAGCTGAAGTTGGCAGAAGCTGCATGACCTCTAAGCCTTGGCTCATGCTGTTCCATTTACTAGGATCTTGTCCTTCCTCAGCTGTGCCTGCCTAGCAAACTCCCAGCTATCTTAAGTATAAGGTAAGATACACTCTCTTTTTTTCCAGGAATGCCACAGGCAAGTTGACTCTCCCCTGAGCTCTTACTGTACCCATACAAAATCTACAGAACCTGCAATTTATTTTACTTTTATGTGTATGTCTTCCTCCCCTTACTAGTCTGAAAGCAAACTTAGGGAAAAGACTTTGGCAATACTGTTCTATCCTCAGTGCCTGTTTCGATAGGTACTTAATAAATCTTGTTGGACAAAATACTCTGTAAGCCCCATGCAGAGCTAATTTAACTACTATTAATACCATGAAGAATGTACTAGTGATTCTTATTGAAAGTCAAGTCTTATCTGATTTTTAGCAACACAGTGTTATCTGTTCATGTTTGTGTAGGACAGCCAACTGCTGAAGAAATAGAAATAAGCACCTCCTTGGCTCAGTGAGAAGGTTTCCAATATGTGATGTTTTCTTTCTTTAGGTCAGCGAAGTCCTCCAGAAATACAGGCATCATGGTGAGAGGCAAAGCAGTATGGGGATGACAGCAGAAGTCCCAGACTCCACTCTCTGGGAATGAGATGACCGCAGCCATCTAAATATCAATTCATTATTTTAATGCATCTACAAACCCAAGTGTTTGCAAGGTGAATTAAGCACCTCTTTCGAATTAGTCTGGTATTTATCAATCTGTACTCTTTAGAACAGTGATGACTAGATTCTTAATAACACTAGGACCCTGCAATATCCCAGTGATTTTCTTAAAATAATCATATATGATTAGGTTGTAGCCTATAGCTTTAGTGTTGAGTGTGCTATCATGTTCTCATTCATTCATTTATTCAAATATTCAGCCACTGGACCCCTTAAGGCTTGTTACCACACACAGATCACTGAAGGCAAAAATGAGTGTGTAAGATGGGAGAGCTGAACAGGAAGCTAGAAAAGGAAAAATATTTAAAGCACCTTGTATAAGTTTTACAAATGTATCATCATTTTTTCTGAACTATGAGTTCTCAGAACCGTAATAACATTCAGATGTAAAGACATAGAACACACCCAAAAGTCAAATATAGTATTAACTGTCCACGTCAATGTTTGCATGTTTAACTAGAAGATGCATGACATGTTGATATCAGCAAGGAATTACCAAGTCTGTCTTGAAGCAGAGATGCTGCCCACTCACACACCGCTGCTAGTGGGCCCTGTCTCAGACTGGGCGTGGAGGCATGATGTTTTCTGGTGCCATCCTTATATCCCTCACTCCATTTCCACGATCTGACAGTTTATCATCAGGTGATCTTAGAACTCTCCCAGAATTCTACGGCTGCATAATGCGTGATGCATGAGAACCAAAGAGCCTCCAGTTGATGTCTGCACACAGCTCCAGTAGTTTCTCTGCTGGGGGGCCTGCTGATACTGATATAAATTGTGCGTATCTTGACTGACAGCCCAGAGAAACAGAGCTTATCAATAATCTACACAATGAGTACCTTCAAATTAACTGCTTTCTTTCATCCCTGTCTGTGCAACAGGGAAGAATTTTGTGCTGCCAGCATTCAGTACAGGAAAGGGATAGCAGAGTGTAGCAGAAGGTGAGCCCCAGCATTCCTTTTCAAATATCAAGCTCCCTTTAAATAAACTGATCTAAAGTCAATAATTTAAAATGAATTACCAAGCCACTCACAAAAACAATCCAATATTCACCCCCTCACAGATCCACATCTGCCCGTTTTCTCTCTCCTTGCTTGACACAAAGGTCTTTTTTCAGGTGTTGATTTACTCAAAAGGCCTAAGATTTTCTTCAGTAACCTGTTCATTAAAACACTCTTGACCAGGAGTTTTGGTTACAATGGCTATTCCACTTTCCCATTCACTCTATCACCACAACTGTCTTGGCTTCCATAGAAACTGGAGAGGTTGTCTTTAAGAAGGTATCAAAATTACACAAGAGTGAAAATATTCTGTAAAAAGAAAACAATCTTTTAGATTGAAATAACCACATGAAAAAAGAAACAAAATACAATTTGGAATTTATTTTTCAAGTTTTACAGTATAAAAAATGTGACCTGTAAAATGTTTTACAGTTCATCAGGATGGGAGTCCCAAAAAGGGAACAAAGTAACTTGTATTTCAGGTATACTACATTATCCTGAACACTAACATGGTTGCTGATGTTACACTGAGAAGACATTTCATCACACACACATTATGCATGTCTGCAAACATACTTGTACAGATGGTTGCTGGTAGTATGATTCATTCACATGTTTAAAATGTCCCAAGAGAGCCCACCATCCAGTTTATGCAGGAAAATCACACTCACACTTCGTCATACACATGTGATGATTGTTGAGTAGAGGCTGGTTAGTACAACTGTTCCTCCTAGTTACAAAGTACAGTGTTAACTAATGAAAGAGAACACTCACACAGATTGTCCCTGAACTTCTGGGTTGATGCTGGATTCTGAATTCAGAAGGTTAAGTTTTTCAACACAAAAGCAACTGTCAGACAAGCTTCTCCAAGTGAGGCCTGGCCCAGGCCTTCTGGTCTCTCTAGCATCTCTGCTGAGGAAGTGGTCATGATAAGGCAAGTTATGCTCACTACCCCTGTGAGCCAGTATCCACCCCCACCCTCACCCTGCCTGGTGCCCTGCACTCTATACAATAGTTGTACTAATAAACAACTGCTTGGAAATCAAACATGGCCATGTCATAATTTAGAGGTTCCAGGGGAGTTTGCTATTTAACTAAAACCTACAGTGCATACATTATAAAAATAAGGAATTATTACCAAAGTTTGGATTTTATGTTCCTTTTCTTTAAAGAATGATGATCAACACTAAGTGAATATTCTATTATTTCTATAACTGAGAGAGGCACTGGCAAATGAAAAGCAACTGCCTCATCTTTGAACCTAGCCCTGGAATGGTGATCACATGCAACTGTCTCCATTCCTACACCGTGAGCTGAACTGGACTTGCCATCCACATTCAGGCCTGGGTCCCATTATTAACTCCCTGAGCCACGGTCTCTTGTCCTCAGAGATGAAGCTTTCCTAGGCTTTGGGCTTTTGTGGGGCTTAAAAACTCCTACATGATCAGTTCCTTCTGAATGACAGCTCAGGTCAAGGGAAAGCTCAGATAAACAGAAGGAAATACAAACCAGACAACTGTACATTCAAATATTTTAACCCAAGTATTATTTCAGTGCCAAAAGAATTGCCAAAGGCACTCTCCAGATAAAAGCCTAGGCAGGGGTTTGTCACATTTGTCTCCAAGGCTTAAGATAAGAGTGTTTTTATTCTACTAAGACAAAACACTGATGCTTTCAAGCTAAGAGACGTAAGTTGTAGACTCTTAGACTCGCAAGTAACCTTTCACTCTGCTACATCCAAGGCAGAAATTTGCTGTAACGTTAGGATACAATGTTGTACCAGTTATTGTACTCTTTAAAACAACCATTAAAAAGATTTATTTTACAAGTTAAACAAAGCAAATTATATTATCTAAGTAGAAATGACACAAAGTCTGGTAAGAAAAGACTTGCAGTCTGAAAATCTCATTTTATTTAGTAGTTTTACTTTTCTTATCTACCCTTTGAAAATTTGTCCAAATTCCTAATGTGTAGCAATGCCGAGATAATGTGAACACATTTTCCCTTTCCTGTCATCCATGGGAAGTGAACAGCAGGAGAGAAAAAGGTAGCTTATGCACAACTAAACAGAAACTTAAAGATATTGGAGTAGAGGAAAACTGTGTTTTCAGAGTCTTGTTTTACGGCTGTTCTGTTAAAACTCCTGAGGGCAAATGTGGAGAAAAACAGTGGGATGCAAACTGTTTGCTCAGCACCCCTGTCAGGGAGGGAGGCCAGGCCTCCAATTGTAAACCTCCCTGTGCTCGGCCCTCTCCTACCCCAACCAGGGGAAGCGTTTGGGGCACAGGTTGACAGAGAGGATTCTTGCTTAGCTCAGAAGGCCAGGTTGGCAGTTCCTTCTGAATGACAGCTCAGGTGTCCAAGGCCCAAGGTGACCCACCAGCCCGACAGCAGGGCGGGGGCAGAAGCGAAGGGCGGCAGCTGCACACACTGCAACCTGGCCTGTGGCAGGACCAGGTGCTGGCAGGCCTGGGTCTCCTGGGCGGAGGGCGACTATCGAGCACTTTCCATTGAAAATCCTAAATGTGCCAGCAGGGTGGGAAGGTGTCCGCTGGAGCCACACCTCTGGGGCAAACCCAAAGTAAAAAAAAAAAACAGGATTCCACCTGCCGAGAATGCCGGTCCCAGGCTCAGATTCAAGGTTAAGTGCCCTACGGTCCCTCCTCCATATCCCCATCACTCGGATCATACTTCAAGGTACAGTAACAGAGGGACTGGAATCAACATTAGAGCTGAAATTCCATTTAGTAGCCATGAGACCTGGGGCGTGTCCCTCCCTCTCTGATCATCCTTTTCCTCACCAGGAAAACTGAGAAAACCCCTGCCTTCTAGGATTTCGTATTCTAGAACACTACCTAACACACAGTACCTGACAAATCTGTTAGTACCTTTCTCTTCCTTCTTTGACCAAAATATGTTTTGTTAAAGACGCGACTGAAATCAAATTTTCTCAGGATCCATTTGGTTAAAGCACAAGACTGCAGCAATTTCAATGTAGTGTCTAAACTACCTCAATTCACTACTGTACCGAATACCATTCAAGAATGTGCCATGGGCTTAAGAACGATTTATATTTTATTTATAATGGAATATGACCACAAGGTTACATAGTAGTAAATTCACAGTAGTGATTTATTTTTTTGTAACAGATCCAGAAAGCACAAACACTACCCAGAAATACTTATAGCACTTTATAATCACAGGGTATCTGCTGCATGACTTAAATATTATGTTAACATTTCTGTGCTTTTAGTATAATCAGTCTTATTTTTTAAGAAGCTGATTTTTTTTTTAAGTTTTGAGAAATACAGAGTAAGGCTTCGAGGGTAGTGAAGTTGGGGCAGGAACTGATAGAGCTTGACCTTTCTTTTAACATTTTTTGCTGTTTTGGGGTCCTAGGGTCTCGATGCAAGAAAGGGTCTGATGGACTTGTCTGCAGGACAGCAAGCTCTCCAGACCACTTCTGTGCTAAAAGCCATTTACTCCTGGGGAAAAGCCAGTGTAACTGAGCGAGAGGAATGAAGAAGGGGAGGGAAAAATAACTGGCTTTAGAGTAACCTCCCAAAAGATGGGTGCTAGGTTAGGAAATCTCTCCAATATAGGACATACATAGAAACAGACACCCACTCACCCATGGAAACACATACCGAAGCCGTCATCTGCTGGGCCACATGCCCATCAGCTACAGATAACACAGAGGTCAGATGTCTAGCATACAAACATGTTGTCCATCTGGTAATTACACTCAGAGGAATGCTCACAGGTACAGAAACACAAATCCAGAAACAAATATGCATCCCGTTTAGGAAGCCTTAGGTAGCAGGGCACAGCTAGGAGAGAGTAAACCAAGGGCCCAATGGGCACTCACTCTTAAAGGTGTGGGGAGTGAGGGAGGATGTGCAGGGTGATCACTTTCTGTCAGCCCAGCAGGCCTGTGGCTTGCCACGGAGCTGTAGCAGTATCTAAACAAAGGCACTCAAAACAAAGATGAGACACGAAGGTGAGAGTGGAATACCACCCAGTGGTTGGGGTGGGGGACACCTCGTGCCCATCCTGTACACCCAGCAGAGCCGCGGCCACCCCATGGAGAAGGGCTCCAAGCTCCAACAAGGAGCCCCATCACTCACACACAGGCCACCCACCTCTCCCCATCTGCTGTACAGATGGGTCCTGTCCAGAGATTTGGAAAGGAAGGACAGAGGGAGAAAGGGAGACAGTGATAGCTGGGCCAAAAACTGGTTGTTTTCTCTAGGGCTTACACCTTGTGAATTTTAGCAAAAGTACTACAGGTTTTGACTTAACTGATCACACAAAGGATGTATGAACTATAAAACCTTCTAATCCCTTCCAACCCTAAGAATGTCGACTTCTTAACATTTAGTTCAAGGATGATTAAAAGTTGTCATTATCTTCAAAAGTACACACTTAAGAACAAAAGTCATCTGCTGATTAAAACATCACCAGGAAAGAGTGATCTCAGCCATGCATTTCTCATTAAGGTCTTCTACTCTTTAAAACTTAACGTTCACATTTTTATAACTTGGGTTGAAAGTTACAGAAAATCTATAAACATTAAAGACAAATGAAATCCTGTCTCCTCTAATGTCAATGTGTCATATACTCACCAAGCCCTAGGGCACAGTTTACCCCTTTTAAAAAGAAAGCTTATTGGTTCCAAGAACTGAAATAAAAACACATTGTGTTCAATTGTGTGACAGAGCTTTCTGAACCTTAAATTTTTTAAAGCCATTTACATTGTTCCCACTGCACCAGTTAACTCGAGCTATTAAGAGTTTGAAAGTACGAAGGCTTTATACAAAGATCCTGCACTTTATTTTGTTATTCTTTCAAAAAGGACTCAATACAAAGTCAGTGTAAAAAAATCAATATTCAATTTAAAACAGAAACAATAATTTCAAAAAATCTGACATTCTCCTATGCAGAGACTAGAAGAGACAAAAAGGGGTAGAAAGAAAACAAATTCCTTAATTTAAGCCTCTTTTCAATCTGCTGGGAATGCATGCACCAAATGAGTCTAACTTAACCCCTTCCAGGCTGGTCATCTAAGATAGTGCTGGAAGCACAGTATTTCCAAATGCCGACAAACAGTGTAGATGAACTACTCGTTCTATGAATGAACAACGTGAACTGTGTATGGCACTCCACCTGCTGTGCTACTGTGCAGGGGCCTCGGACACATTTGGTCTGGGATATTATAATCTTTACACGTCCCAAGTCTCATACACATTCACCATCCCTTGCCCCATCTCCCAAAATATATTTCCTGAGAAAGATATCATAAGGAACATCCAGTTTGAAGGGACCCAGAGGCAAAAAGAAAGCAGACAAAAGCACCATGGTTACACAGTGTGTGGTTTTCATAAACAGGACCGCATAGTTCAACCTGCATCTTAGCTCCACATCACACTGCCTGGATTCTCTTTCCTTCTTTTCCAGCACAACTTTTTGAGTTGAAGATTGTTGATTCAAGACTGCTGTTTACTTTTTCAGGTACAAGTATATTACAAATATCCAAATCCAGCTGTAATTTACAAAAATGATACACAAATACTGCACCACTGGTGGATGGGTACCCATGCATACACACACACAGAGCATTCTGACAGAGTCATCCTTTACTACAGCAAGGTAACAGAGTACCCTAAATACCTGGGAAGAGCAAGAGTGAATCCTTTGTAAAGGTTTGTGGTGGATACAGAAGGGCAAGTGGAGGGGTGGACAGCATACCACAAGGCATCCACATGGCCCCGTGAGGAGCGCCCCACAGCACACTTCCACCGGGACGGGTGCTCCACCAGCAGCTTGGCCACCTCTGCTCCCCAGCCAGGGGAAGCCCCCAGAAACTGGCTGCACTTAAGAAACAGATCCCAGAAGCATCGTTCTGTACCATCAGACCGGCTCCCTACCCTTCCCCAAGTTTTGCAGCTGGACCATTCCTTCTCCGCACTTCACCAACTACAAGCAATTTCAGCAGCAGAGGTCAAACCAGCCCCTTCTCTGGTAGTTAAGTGGTAGAGTTGCACAGTGATGGTGGTCAGAAATCAGAATGGACAGCAGCAGTTGTCACTGGAGTGGGCACTGTTTGGTCTCCCTTAGTAGGGCAGCCTGCTACGCAGCTTTGTGAGAACTGTCCCTGGGAAGTTAGAGGCTGCAAGCTGAACCTGCCAGCCCCGCTGTCACAGTGTCAGTCTTCCCCCGTCCTTCCAAGCAGAGGAGAAACTGAAAGGGGAGGCCTAAAAGGGGACCCTAGCCAGCCTGCTCTCCCTGTACAAACAATCCGGGGGACCCACATGAAGCTGTGCACAGAGCCCAACCAAGGGCACCAGTGGAGAGGCAGGCCTCAGGCAGCTCGGAGGGCTGGGCTTCCCTGGCCAGGCCTACCAGCCAGGTGGGGGTGTGGTATGTGCAGGGGAGGCGGGGATGGAGTGAGATGGGTGGGCAATCACAGGGCTAGGAATCAAGGGCTTCCTGTTCAAGGAAGCAGGGTCATAAACAGGGCAGTCAGGTTTTCTCTTTGGGAAAAAAAAAAATCATTAAGAGATGTAAACTGATAATGCACATTTTTGTTGTGATCTTTCTGTGCAGAACCTAAGGCAACAGAGAACAAAGATGAAGGCAGGCATTTCCTGAACAGCCCGTGGCTCCCGTGGGTGATACGGTCCTGGACATTCACATACACAAACACATACGTGGATGTGTTGTGTCTGGTTTCCTAAAACAGAATGAAGATATATATCTCCCTAGAAGTCTATGAGTGGGCTGAGCAGAAGCAACAGGAGGGCGTGGTGCTGGACAAAAGGCAGGGACTACTGCTGTAAGGCGAGGCTCCCGAGAACCGCCAGCTCCGCTTTGGTTTACAGCTGTCATACAAACACCCAGGAAAGGCTTCTTGAGAAGTCCCATCCACAAAAGCCAGATAGATGCCGTCAGTCCCTTTTCTCCAGGGTGGACATCCCCTGCTTCCTTCCAAATAAAGTGCAGACGGTTGAAGGATACTGGTCTGTCATCTGCCAGCTTCAGTCAGCAATGAAGAAGAATAAAAAAATGATGCCCTTCTGGTATACATATATATATATATATATTTATATATTCTTTTTTTTAATAAAGCCACAAATATAGAACTTTTAAACTGATGTCTCAGACTGTAAGCGAAAGATGAATTTGTGAGATTTGGGGTCTATGAACTCTTCAGAGAGTACGATGAATGGAATTTTCTTCACATTGACTACAAGGCTGAAGTCCAAGCATTTAAGTACAAAAACGATTCCATCCCGCAGTCCGTTAGTCACAGCCTCATCACTCACGAGACTCCACTGCAGCGAGAGCCAGCGCTCCTTGTCATACTGCAGAGTGGGGCCCGCGCTGAGGTAACGCTCTAGGAAGGCCTGGAAGGACAGGAGAGAGGCTGTTAGGGAAGGCACGCCCCACCCAAGGGCCACGCGGCCAGGGGCTCTGCATCCCTACACCTCTGGAAATGTGTCCCAGATAAACCAAGACAGAACCCAGCTCACCATACTGCACTCACGTCAGATCCACACAGCTGAGTCCTCACTGGGGAGGGCAGATACCTGGGCTTGCTCAGTCTCCTTTGCCAACCTCTGACCAGAGGTAGTGGACGGTGGGAAGCAGAGAGGATGGAGGGGTGGCTGGCCTTACTGTCTGCCCAGCAGCCATCACTGAGGCCGTGGCCCAGTCGAGGGTACCAGCCCACTGCACATGCTGCTGCTTGCGCCTGGGTGTGGGTCTGCCTCCTCCCACACTGAAAGCTCCTCAGGGCAAGAGCCAGAGCAGAGCAGCACCACAAAAACACAAGTGTGTGCACAAACACACATGCTCTACCACACACGGGCCGTGTGACTCTGGACAAGTCATTTAGCCTCTGTCAGTGGACACAGTAACAGAACCTAGCTCACAGGGAGGCTCTGAGGGTGAAATGGTTAACTCTAACCACCGAATGGTACAAGGTGTGCACAACCAATGTGAGCCATGGTTATTTTATGTTGGATCAGGTGGGCGCCAGGCAAGACCAAGGGATGGCCAGACCCCATGTCCCCTCCCCTCTCCCGAGTTCTCGGCCCCAGTAGTCAGCTCCTTGGAGCTCTCTGACTTTGTCTTTACATGTGCTGTTCGCCCTGCTGAATGGCATTGTTCAGCCAATTCCTTCTGGTCCTTGAAATCCCAAACCACTCCCTGCACCTCTCAGTCAGATTAACATGCCTTCCTCTGAACTATACTCACTGGCATGGCTCCTGTGTGACATTTTACTTTCTGAACATTTATTGCCAGCTTTCTTGCCTGTCCCCAGCACTGGACTTTACTCTTCTGGAGAGCAGGAACTATTTTTAAAATTTGAATTTCCAATGTACTTGGCACATACTGGAAGCTCAACAACCATGTGTATTAAATCAATAAGTGCACTAAGTTAATTGCAAGAAAGAAAGAAAGAAAGAAGCCAGTGGTACAGATAGAAAATATTGGGATCTATCACTCTGGGTCTAGACACAGGTCAAGGACGGTTTCAGAGTGGTACCCTTTTTTATCCATTCATCATGGCTGCTGCCAGGTACATCTCTTCCGCTCTGTAGGCACACATTTTAAGGCAAAAAGGGGAACCATACCTAAACACACTGCTAATATCAAAATAGCTCTTATGAGTCAAGAGAAAAAGAAACTTAACAATTAAAGGAATGAGATAATTAAGGAGATAATTTACAGAACAATAAATATTAATGGAAATTAATACATGAAAAGACTTTGTACCACATTATTAAAGAAATAAAACTTTAAATAAGAATGTATTTTCCTCCTTTTATATAGGCAATGGTTCAAAAGAATGACAACGTCCAATACTGTTAAGTGCTTGGGGGGAAATAAACAGTCTCGTGTCCCAGGGCGAAAGTATAAACTAGAAGCACCCTTTGGAAGGGACAATCTGTCAAATCTGTAACTTTGATAAAGCTGTTTCTCTACTACAAATTTATCCTTCAGAAATACTTGCACAAATGCACAGAGACACATGGGAAAAAGATATTCACTGCAATACTGTTAAGGCCAGGGGTTGGCAAACTTTTCTCTAAATGTAAATATTTTGGGCTTTGTAAGCCACACTCTGTCACAACTACTCAACTCTGCCTATGGAGAGAGAAAGCAGTCACAAATAATATATAAATAAAAAGGTATGGCTGAGTTCCAATAAAACTTGATTAACAAAAACAGCCAACTCCTGGTCTGAACTAATGAAAGTTCTTAATCCAAATGTGCATCAATAGGCAATCAGTTAAATAAATCAGAGTATTTAGGGCAATAAGTGAAAAAAAACCCACATTTTCAAACTATGAGTGTTCATGTGTATGGTATGAGATCCCATTTGTTTGCTTTTTCCATTTCTGGTTTACAAATAGACACACACACACATACATCTCTGAAAGAATACACCCCAACCCCCTATAAGTAAAGACTGTCTAGGTTGGGGATTGAAAACTCTCTTTGCACATGATACTCTTCTTTCATGTTTGGATTTTTATACAAAGAATATCTATTATCTTTAATTTTGAAAAGTATACAATTTTTAAATGAAAAAGAAAGCAACCAGGAAACTTAAAGAAAATCTTGAAAAAAAGGAAAGCAAATGCTTCTGCTCTGCATGGCGTAAGCTATCATTTTGCATATGCAGATCTACTGCAGTCATTTGCAACCACAGTGTTCATACCTTTTTGCACTCTGCTTTTTGTAACTTGGAACTCCAGCAGAAATTCTTCTACATTTCAACAGGTGACATACCATAAGTTATGAGCCACTGTTCTATTTTTAAGTTATTTCTAGTTTGGAGATTATTTTTGTAAAAACATCTTCATGTGTATTCATGTATGTTTCTGACTGTGCTGAAACTTACCCTCAGAGAGCAATTAGTGAGTCAAAGAATATGGACAACTTTATGGATTCTTACTGATTATTTCTGTACTGCTTTCCTGAGGGTCGTTACTGACTGGGGACAACACAACCAGCAGTTGTGCAGGTATAGGGCAATGTAGGAACACAGGTCCTCACACTAATATCAGCAGCTACCAAGTGTTACACGTGTACTACACGCCAAGCTGATATACTCTCCACCACATGATCTACATCTCATGCTGCCACGTTTAGTTTAATTTTCACAAAACAACCCTACCCATTTTATATCATCCCCATTTTATGAGAGAGGAAACAAGGGTAGAGTAACTTACACACAACCACAAACCAATCGAGTGGTGGATCAGTTAAGTTATCGATCCAGGATCTGCATCCATCTGTGTCTGAAATGAGGTCATTTGCTAAGCCCTCACTCCATTTTGCCTCCTTGGCCATATCCTTCTATTAGACACATGGCTATTTTCTGTGATATCCCTTAAAGGGGTATTATAAAAAGGGCCACATCAAACATCCCAGAGAAAAGAGCTCATACCAGAATCCAAGAGACCAGTCAGTAGAACTAACTCTACAACACCAAAAATTCCCACCAAAGTGACGGCATTCTTCCTACCAGGAATCGTGACAGCCATCTAGTTAGCCTTTACCAGCTGCCAGGCTTCACATGAATGGACTCTGTCAGCTCCCACAACACAGTGAGGTAGATATGGATATCAGTCCCAGTTTAACAGATCGGGGAGGTGAGGCAGAGCCACTAATCCATTGGCCCAAGGCCACCAAGTTGGTTGGTGGGAGAGTGAGGTCAGACTGAGTCAGCTCAGCTCCAGAACCCAGTCCCCTTAACTACCACCTATATTGTCTCTACATGAAAGTCTTTCCTCTGCCCGAACCTAAGCACCATCAACAGGCACCTTTAACAAACAACTGTACCCTAATGGTACAAAACATGTGCAAACCAACGATTCTTCTTCATTGGTGCTTCAGAGCAGTCTTAGATTCTCACCCTCCCAGTGACACCCTGAAACTGGGCTTCCCAAGCTCAGGGGCGAGTTGCACCTTCGGCGTCATGCTGTTGGTGATGCAGAAGGCCAGGTGCTGCAGGATGCTCTCCATGCTGTGGTAATGCTGCTGTCGCGTGGTGCGCAGGTACTTCTGCAGAGCCCGGGCCATGGAGGGGAAGATGGCCTGCGCGGCCTCCCGGGGCTCCATCACCTCCCCCGGGGCTTTCTGCTGCTCCTCGGCCTGGAGACGCTGGATGTGGATGAAGGCCTCTTCCACTGCAACCACCAGCCTGGGAAACGACGAGACACACTAATTAGGATGGTGTCAGCCACACGACGTGAGAAGAGTAGTTGAAGGCAGCTGGAATGACTCCTGCCCACCTGCTGCGTCCCAGCCCGCACCAGCTCACACCAGACCCACATCCTCAGCTGTTGCTCCAGAGGGTTGAGGAGGGAAGAAGAAAGGAAGGCAAGAGTTGGAACAGGAGCTATGGGGTGATGAGGACTGGGAAATGACTCCTGTTCCCAATTCTGCCACAATAAGCTTGGGGGTCTTACTCCAAACTCTTTTTATCTCTCTAATGAAGGGTTCGGATGGAGAGAGTTCTAAGGTCCCTCAAACTCTGGCCACAAAAGGCTCTGCATGCACTGAGAGCTGGCTAGTGGTGCAGAAGCAGCCCTGAGAAGAACCAGAACTGTGTCCCCCTTGGACCTGCTACCTACCCAGCAGCCCCCAGGAAAAAAGAAGGAAAAGGCTGAATGAGCACACGTGGTGGAAACCACCTTTGTCCACTTAGTTAACACGATCAGATCTTGAAAGCCAGTAAGGTCCTGGGGGTGGAGGACCAGGCCACCCAAAGGGTGGGCTGCAGACCAGCAGCTTCAGCATCAGATAGGAATTTGTGAGAAATTCCTTGGGCCAACTCCAGACCCACTGAGCAATAAGTGACTTTTGCAGGTGGGGCCCGGAACCTGAGATCTGTGTGTTAACAAGTCCTCCAGGTGATGCTCATGCATGTTACAGTTTGAGAAACACAGCAGCAGTGTTTCTCAAGGGCTCACTCCCAAGGCTCAGGCAAGCCATGTTTATAAACTGAAATTTCATTCTAGCAATAAAAAAAAAATGTCTACTACAAGAGGGTGTGTCAGGGTGGCCATGTACCTCGCTCTCCGCTTCTTCACCCGCCGTTCATGTTCTGCCTCTTCATAATACAACTCGTTGTGGCTGGAGTCCCTTCGCCGAGCAGCTGCAGCGATCATTGCCCGGGACTGACCAGTGGCATTGTTACTGGGACCTTTTGGGAACAGACAGTGGAGAAAGAACAGTTTTAATACCATGTAATTGCAAAAGAGAGCAGAAAGCAAGGTCGGTGGTCTGTCAGTACCATCTACCCACTTCCTGTGAAGGATGCACACAAACCCCACAGTAACTTCCCAGGAGCATGGGCAGTGCCCTTGTTTTGCACTCAATACGCTCACGAGAGGAAGGCAATCTCCCTAAAACCCAATTTGAGCAGTGGAAATGGCAAAAGAACTCAGAAGGGGATGAGGAATGCTCACCAGTTAAAATGTTGGCCAAAAATAACACACAGGGTATGCTGAAGATGTTATTTCCCATCTGTTACAAAAAGTTTCAGTTTGGCCATGAGGGCAGCTAAGACATCCCATTTCAGCAACAAGACAGTGAGAAAGAATGAGCGGGATGGGGCGATCAAGGACAGAGAAAAAAAGAAAGCCAAGGGACACAGAAACCCTGATCACAACACACAGGAAAACAAGCCATGTAGGAAATGTCATGATAGTCACAACTTTTACAGAAAGCACCAGTGCTTGAGGACTTGCAAATGGCCTGTTTGCTAATACAGACTTAGAACCACTGATCTCGTTCCCCTGACCACTGATCCTTTTCAGAAGGACAGGCAGATCACATGCTTTCTTATGTATCAATTACTGGGTTAATGGCTTGGTTTTACTAGTGGGAAATTTTGCTATTTTCAGATCACAGGCAAAATTTGCCAATCCTTCAGGATTCATGAGAGAATGCACATTTCATATAGCTACCCTATGCACCCAAAACAATGGGGAAGATATTGCCAGCAAAAATTGACACCATCAACAAATCATCCGACTTGCTAACAACATGATCTTCTAGGGTTTACAAAGCTCTTGCCCTGACCCAAGGTGCCCATCAAGAAATGACACCATGTCCTGTTTCTTGCACTTAAATATCTGATAGCCTGGAACACTGCTCTGATGTCCCCAGCCTGGCCTCTGGCCTCCTGCCACCCACTCAACTCTAGCTCTTAGCCAGGATTGAGAAATGCCTGTAAGGATCTCATCAGATGCCTGAACTACTGAGTTATAGTCTTAACGGATTTGGGTAGCTGAGTCTTTGGGTAATTTATCCAAATTTTTAAAAGCAGCCTTTTCCTAAGAACTTTGGATATAAGATGTTCCCAGCAGGAGGCAGAAAACACACATCACTATTGTTGTAATCATAAAATCCCCAAATGAATAAACCTCCCACATATGTAGACTGTAAATCAATATTCCTCTGAAAATACGTTTGCCTGGAGAAAAGGAAAAAAGAAAAGAGAGAAAAAGAAGAAACTGTCCTGCAATGAGAATATACCCTAAACACAAACTCTGTGAGAAAGAGAAACAAAGGGGGACCATAAAGTTTAAGCCAAATAGTTGTCCCAACTGTGCTCCCTACACCCACCAGAGACCACCTCAAGGCACATACCATCTACGTTGTAGACTTTCAGCCCGGCCATGTGCTTGGCTGCTCGGAATTTGGAGGCTGTTAGGAGGTTTGGGTTATAGATGGTGAAATCTTTATAGTAATTTTCCAGAACCACCAGTGCTGCTCGCTGGATACTGAGAAAAGAGGGCAAAATTAATGCAAAGATTTTTTATGGAATAAGCAGCACCTAAGTGAAGAAAATCCTCTTTTGGAGTCAAGTAAAATAACAGAACACCAAGGATAACCTCACCTAGAAGGCTACTGGGGTTCACACCTTGTGTGTCCAGGATGAGAATTCAAAGATGAAACTTGAGTCCTGTCAAGTGGCTTCTGTGCCTTCTCCCAGGCTATGTCAACTAGCCACATCCCATCTAGCCAATAGTTGAGAAAGGAGTGAGTTATAACTGAGGAAAGTTCTGTGTGCAGCCTAAACAAATCTATTTCTCCCAGCTTATGAAAGAGGAAACTAAGGATCCCCAAACGGTCAGGAGACCGAGTGCAGGCTTAGGTTTCTCAGGCCCTAGGGCAGTGTTGCCCCTCATTGTCCTTGGGGTAAAGGATGCATGGCTTCAGTTTTCTATCGTCAGAGAATGACACCCACATAGTGCGGAGTGCACCTGAAGGCAGCTGGCTGCAGACACAGTTAATCTGCATCCCACCTACCCCAGGCCAGTGAGCGCTCTCTCCTTCAGAGGAAGCAAGACCCCTTCTCAAGTCCCTGAGGCCTCAGCTGACATTTTCCTCTTTCCTGGTCTATGAGGCCTCCTGCCCCTTGAACCGCTGACTCTGGCCCTTGGGAGGGGTGTATGAAGGGGCCTCTCCTTACTCTAATGTCCTGCAGTCTCTAATCTATCACCTGTTTGGGCCCCTCAGAGATCAGCAGATGAGCGGAGAGAGGTGACACCAATACATGGAAGGGTTGGGTGAGGAAGGGCACCCATTCTCAGTATTGGTGACAAAAGAACATGCTCTCGGTCAGAGACGTGGGGCACGCACCACTTCAAAGAGCACTTTGTAATAATACAGCATGGGTTTTTACATACCATCTCATTTGACCGCTATGGTCATTCGAGGTAAGGAACCTGAGGCTCAGAAACCTATGAGCTGCTCCACAGCACGCATCCACTCAACAGTGGAGCTGGAGCTCCAGTCTGGATTTACCGACACCCAACTCGCGCTCCTTCCCTGTGACGCATGGCCTCTGGAGGACAGTGTATGTACTGACACAGACTGCGGGAGTGCTAAAATCCACAGATTTATTTTCGTCTTGCCCTTTACTTTTTCCTTCCTAGTCCCCTGCTAAGTGGATGCACTTACATGGATTATTTACAATAGCCTGGGTACCACGGCGGAGCTGCCTGTGGTTCCCGGATGACCACACTATGTTCCACAGCTCTCTGAGTGGCTCAGGGATCTTCACTTCACACCAAGACAACACAGCTCCTAACTTATCAGCTGGACATTTTGTCAACCTTCCCTTTAGCTTCCTCTGGGGCTCTGCCCCCACAGTTTAACATGGAGTCTAAAAACGATCTACAAGACAATCAGCCAACCTCCTTGAGAACAGAGCCAGGGCAAAGCTTTCTTACTTCTATCCCAAAAGTGCCTTGACCAGTAATCTGCATTCAACTGGTGCTTAGTATCTACCTGGATATGAACACTCATGTGTGGCTGGGGAAATCTGGTGAGACCAGCCTTGTATCATGGAAGCATTCCTAAGAGCAAGTCCACATTTTGAAAGCCCTAGTCATTCAGTTACTCAGCTGCTCACTCATCACTTTCATATTTAAGTACCTCTGTCTGCCAAGCCCTTCAAAAGCAGAAATAAGAGGGAGGAAGCTTCTCCCCAGCCTGGCATATACAGAACATAAGCTCTGTAACTACTAACTGAAATACACAGAGGTGCAGCCAGCACAGAGAAGAGGTGATGACTGCCCAGGACCTGGGATGGGGCAAAAGCAGCTCCCTAAGGACCTGAAGGCAAAGAGAGGCTTGTGTGTCACACATGTCGGTGCAGAGGTCCTCTCTGCTCCCATGAAAGCCTGCCCACTGTGTCCCCGGCTCAGCACCTTGCCCCTTGATCTCTGGTGTTCTCCAAAGCGGGACAAGTGCTGCTTCTTCACCTCTCACCCCATCCAGAGATCTACCACGGTCCTCTCCTTGATCGCACACATAAACACGCCCTCTGTGCACTTATACCAACCCCCGCCCCTGCACACTGCTTTTCCTGAGCCTCCAGGCTTTGTGCGGTAAGGAGCCCCTCCACACAGAGTCTCAGTTTACGCACATGGCCGTGCTGGGGTACAGTCGTTTCATCCCACGCTCCTATACTGACATGGAAACATCTCTAGGCTCCTGGATTCCAGCAGGAAATTATTTTCCTGATCAAAATTCAAAAATTAAAAGGAAGCTCAGAGGTTACTTTCAGGCCCGTCTTCAAAGCAGACTATCTGGTGGGGGTTGGGTTTGGCCCTTCGGTTTAGCCAGGTCACAGGGAGGAGCCCAGGGAATCCCACTAACTCAGCCAGGGCCTGCGGGGCCACTGAGCGAACAGCTGCATTGGAACCTGGCGGCCCTATTTCCCCAAAGCCACAAACAGTGCGCCGTGCTGCCCGGTGAATGGGTGCCTGTGCTGAGCTCCAACAAGGCTCCCCTCACCACCATGCACACCCCACACCCTGCTGCCCCCAGCCCAGGGCCTCCAAACTGGGGAGTGCTCAGGGACAGGCAAGTAATATGTGACATGTCACATGTGTGGGTCTCCTAGTCTCCCAAAGCTTTAGAACCTTCACTCAGGAAAACTGAACAGGTGGGAAAGTTCAGGCAGTGCTCACTTTCTCCAGCACCATCGGCTCAGCAGAGGCTCCACAACATCCAGACCAGCCATGGACCTGGCCTCCCCAGGCTGACAAGCTAAGGCCAGAGCTGAAGAACTCAGGGGAGGTTTGGAAATGCCTCTAAGAATGATGCATGTCCTCATCACAGAAAACTGTGCAACTCTCGACAGATTCAGCAGTATTAGGGCATGGGGATCTCCACAGAACCAAAACTAACAAACTGAAGCATCCAGTTTTTAAAAAAATGGGTGTGAGATTTGGATTAAAACCCAATATTCTGTTCTTCACCTTTTTAAAGATAGTCAACTATGTAATATATGGGTAAGTCTTGTTTGCAACTCAGGATGGCTGCTATACACATTAGTATGAGCTGTGCCTAGTGTGTGACACAGTGAAGCTGCCCAACCACAAGGGAGGTGGAGGCTAGCACAATGCACTCCGAGCATGTAAGGCTGTTTCCTTACCTCTTTTCCATATTCCGCCTTACCACTGGCTATCAAAGTCACTCCTGGTTGCTGTCAACCTACCCACCTTTGACAACTATCCTGCTGTTTTCATACATTCTTCACTTGGATATAAACAGAGACAATGGGATTCAAGGCACCCAGGTGAGGTGCACTGCTCTAGCCAAGTGACACCCCTTATAGCTTGTCTGATGTCTATTTCAATCCAAAAGCTAAGACCTCTTTCTGTTCTGTTCTGGCTCCTGATTCATGCTCTAGTTTGCTTTGTCAGATAACTGACTTAACTTAAAAGCAACATACTACTAATGTTATTATTTGGTTTCCCGGTAAAAGCAACTCAGCACCTCCTGAGGGGACATCCCGCAGGAATCCTTGGCATCAGTGCCAGGAGGCAGGGGCACCCTTTTCCGTAGCCAATGTCAAGTTCAGCATCTTCCTGCCTCTATTCGTTGGCATTTTCCAAATACGCATCTTACAAGGCCAAAGGAGGAGCAGTTTCTTTTTGGAAGCTTTTTCCAACTCTTTGATCCCAACTGATCAGTCCCTAAATTCAGGAGCAGCCACATCACATGACTTGGGATGCTGTCCCATGTGCTAGTCTCCTTCAATAAGCCTGTGAGAATCTCCCATGCATAGAAGACACCTCCAGTGACTTCCCCATTGGGTACATAATACTCATTGGCTCAACCTGCTCATTTAGGAAACCCCAGAATTCCCACAGGTATAGGATCAGCCTTAGCACATATTTCATAAAATTATGGCATTTCAGAGGCTGAAAGTGCTGGAGAGATGAACAAAAGCAAACCCTTTAACTAGTTTCAGTCTCCAGACCAGATCATCTTTGGGGAAGGAGGGAAGAAAAGAAAACCAAGTTGGTGAGAAACTTTTCATCTTTCATATCAGCACCCAGTACATTTAGAGACAATAGGTAATAACGTGACTAAACAATCCTTATGCACAAACCCTGCATTACAGGCAGATGGAGTCTGACAGACAGGCTGGACATAGCCCTACCAAAAACCCCTGGCAAGGAGCACCCTCCCCAGACAGAACTCAGATCTCAATTAATACCAGCCTCCCAGGTCACTCCCCAAGGAAATACCCTTTCACAGACCACATGTATTTGTGGAGAACAGCCTGGGGATATGCAGAGCTCTAACAGAAAACCACTTGAAACCTACACATAGAAAGAGGTATGCAGATGAAAAGACAGCATGGATAACGAACACTCAGGATCAGAAAAATTGGGGTGGTTACCAATGGGAAAGTGACCCACTCAACTCTGCTCAGTCTAGGTTGGTCCAAACTTGGGAAAAACTCACGGGAAAAACAGGGCAGTAATGGATCAGCACATATATCTGGGGGAATTCAATAGCAACGCTCAAATTTGAAACTCACTGTTGGCCACACTGCCTTACTGGCCTATTTTCTCTTCAGGACAAAGAGGGTGGAATGTGAAATGCTGTGGCCTTTTGTGTCTAATCAACCACAAAAACACTTCCAGTGTCGCTGACAACTGTTATACAACTGCCATGGCAACAGAAAAAAGGGGCTCACCCTTGCACTACATTTCTTAAACAGAGTTGGAAACATAGTTCCAACATAGTCCAAATTTTAGTTCATAAAAGTCTGAGAGACATATTTTTGAAAGCTAACATATTTTCCAAACTCTATACCTCCCTCTGTCTCCACCACGCTCTGTGCATATGTATCTGCTGTGGGAGAAAGTATGCACATGGCAAATCAGGCTTTAGCCCCAGACAATGACTCTTGGCTCTTTCATTTATTCTTTGACCTTGAACAAATTCACTTCTCCAAATCGCAGGGTCCTTA